CTGGTCCTGTTCCGATGGTGTTCCGCTCTTGTTCTGATGGTGACCAACATGACCACATTGAAAGCGCACGCATCATTTTCAACACATGGAGCCTCTCCAAAAAACACCCACTCCATTTTGGTGACCCTGCTTGCCTGGGGCACAGGCAAAAAAAGTCACACAAGGCGGGGAAGAGCAGGCAGCCAAATTGTCGCTTTTGCAAGTGGATTGCCCAAGATTCTTCAGTGACCAAGACAGCTCTTGCACTTGGCACCACCATGCTGCCGAAAATGACTGTACGAGAGAGGCAGCGTTGGGCAATGTTGTATGACACAAAAAGTGCTGGAGAGAGTTGTGCTCAGGCGAACAACCGTTTCCCGGCTTTTCGCAAGCACCACATGAGCTGCTGCTGCATGCTGCCTTGGGGGCCCGAAATGAGGTTGAGCTGCAGGAAAGTGCAGTGGTGATTGTAACAACAACATGGAGCAGTTTTCCATCAGAATGGGCGCTGCTGGGTTATTGAACCCAAAAATGCCATTGTGAGAGGCATGGAGAGAGTCGTTGAAACTGTTTGTTGCAGAGCAAAAACCAGTTCGCGGAGCGATATGAACGATGTCGGCCATCCTCCGGATCGCTCACGCGCCTAATAACCTGTCTGCTCCAAGCATTTGATGCGACACTTGGAAGTCGGCGAGGCCAGTGCCATCGCATCAGGTGTTGAAGTCATGTGCAGGTGCAGGCTCGCACTCGAGAGTCAGGTCACTTCTTGTCGAACCGCATAGACCGAGACACAGCGCTGATGACCCGTGACCAACTCATCAAACTTCAATGACCTCACAACTGGGCAAGCGACAGGGGTGCTCGGAGTCGCACCTTTTGCGCCCCCAAGCGCGCCCCCCCCCACCACCACCTCCGCACCCGCACCCGAGGATGATGTGGATGGTGAGGGCGAGGGTGCGGATGAGTAGGCCCAGGAAGAGCAGGCCATCTATGGCATCATTACATGCCTTGCGAAAAGGGAGCAGGCAGTGTTGCCTAATCACTATCGGAACTATCGACCCATCACGCTCTATGTACTATACAGCCTTTGGTACAGGCCTTGGGGCTCTACCAGGGCCAGGGCGATCTCGTGGATGCTCACCAATGACGCTCCTCCTGATGAATACGGCTGCGGCTACTTGACCGGTCAAAGGACCAAGGATTTTGCTTCAAGCTTTCCTGGAGCGTGCACATGTCACTGACCAGCAGTACTGTAGAGTGTTGGCCCATGTTCAGCAATGCTTCAACCACCTGCCCAGACTGCCTCTTTGCTTCCTCGCTCGTCACTTGGGCGTTGATGGTGCTGTGACACAAGCTTGGGCGGCCTTCTTACGTGACATGCAGAGGTCGTTCAGAGTTCGACATATGCTGTCTCTGCCCCGCTCACCTCCGACACGGGCTGCCCGAGGGCGATTCTATGTCATGTGTGGGGACGGTGCTTTTGAACCAAGTCTTCCATTCATACCTTCAGCGCTTCCAGCCGCGGCTTAGAGAAATCAGCTATGTGGACAACTTACAGTTCATTGCTGCAGATCCTGATACCCTTTTTTCTGGTTACCTTTGTATGGAAGCTTGGGCCACTATGGTTGGGCTGCAGTTGGACGCTGCCATAACTGTCTACTGGGCGACCTCGGAAAGACCTCGTTCTGTCGTTCTGTCCTTGCTGCTCACGACCTTACCGTGGTTGAGGCGCAGGCCGACTTGGGTCCTCCTCTTCAATATGGCAATGCCTCTTTGCAGGCCCGCATCAACAAAAGCAAGCCATTCTGGAAGAAGCTTGCTTTGCTTTGCACGCCTGCGACAGATCCTTTATGCCGTCCGCGTGGCATTTCAAACCTTTCTTCGACTTGCTCAGAGCCTTAAGACTCCAACAGTGCCAATAGCACATCGTTTCTACACACGGCATCGCAAACGTGTCATGAGTTGCCGACCTTCTCATTTGTATGGAAATGAATGGGTTGGCCATGGCAAGAATTTTAAAGATCTCGCTGGCACGGAGTTGGTGTTGAGCGCCAAGCATGCCATGTACGTATGGCGCTGCGATTACCACTGGTGCTGCTGCAGGGTGCTCCGCTGCCAGATGTGTATGGCCGTGTGCGCTTTGCAGCTTGGATGCTGGGTTCTTGCTGCTTCTGTTATCTCGGCAGAAGACTCAATGGCCAAGCTATGGTTCTCACAGCCACGCAAAGTGGAGGCCAGGATGTTTCAAACAAGCAACCGCTGTAAAAAATTACGTGGTGAACGTTGGAAGGGAGACCTATACACCGGCTATTTTTTTGGGGGGGGTGGTGTTCAGGCCGATAGTGGCCAAACGTGGCCAAACACATGTAAGTTTTACTGAAAGACACACACACACACACAAAACTGTGAGGAAGAGGCGCGCCTCTTCCGTTCTTGGCCGCTTCCCGCTGCCCAGTTTTTTCCGGCGCAATGGCTCAGGGGGCTTTGCGCAGCAAAGCATCAGGTTGTTCCAGGCCCATGTTGAAATTGTATTCTAGGTTGCTTTCTATGTTCCAGTGTGGTGGAGTTTTCCGCACCATGCCAAGAATCAAACCCGCGTGAGTTGGAACATGTGCTTTAGTTTTCTGGCCTTCCATCCTGTGTCCCATGCTCTCGCTGCATCTCGCTGCAGAACACCGGCCAGCCGGGGTCACAGGTTGAGCTCAGGAGTTCAACGTTCATCGAACATGATGTGTGTTTTGCACTGTTGGTATCTCAATGTCTTGCGACCCCAGACTATCGCTGAGCAATCTTGCATCTTTTGTGCAAGAACTGGCTGACCGCACGTTTGCAAGTTTCATGTCACTACTAGGAGCAAGGACGCTACTAGGGGCTCCTGGCATCGTTACTAGGAGCTTTGATGTGAGAACCTCACTCGTAAAAACAAAAGGTTGGAGGTTGGAGGGTAGATAGTGAATAAGATAGATAATCTATAGTAGTCGATGTAAGATTGGAATAGTAGGCTATGTCTATGTCATCGGCCGTGCGCAGTGCTCAGCTTCAGCCGGCCTGAGGTGCAGAGTTGAAGTGCGATCGAGCAGTGACCTATCCGATGGATTTCAGGTCTTGGGTCCCGGGTCACTCAGAGCAATAGGGCATGTGCTAAAATACGCCATCACAAATAAGACTAGATCTCACAGGACACGGCCATAGGGCATGTGCTCAATTCACGTAGCCTTTGGTTTGTTCAACCCGTCGCTTGCTCCAAGCCTTCTGGTTGCATGGCGCTGGTGCAAGAACAAGAGCTTGGTCCTCGCAGCGAATGGAGGTCTGTTCGCAGGGGCCTCAATGTGGTTACACTCGGAAGACGGTCAACATCATTGTCACATCGCCGGTAATTTACTAGAACGTTCTTTAACTTCTTCTTGATCACTGGTTTCTGAATGTTCCACATACTACGCACCGACGTGTATGAGCTGATCAAAACTGGCTATATATATATATATATATATCCCGTGGACCTGCTTGGGTGCCTGTCCAATTCATCGTGTATGTGCCTGCCCAAAATGAAAATGATTATGGACGCTGAGGTCCGGGAAAGGTTTCGTGGACACTTGAAGAGGTGGCCGCTTGGTCTCGCGTCCACTCAGGCTATCACTTGTTCTTTTGGGTGTTCATTTTGTGACTAGATAGACCATTGAATTGTTTCAGCGGTCAGTACCCAGCCCCTAAGGAAACACTTGCGAAGTCCATGGTGGCTGCTCTACCAGTGTCCACCATCAACATCCTCCAATCGCCGGAGTGGAAAGGTGGCCCCTTGCTTACCTTGCCAGATTCCCAAGCTGTCAAGACCCCTACAAGCAAAGAGGTCAGTTCTAACTACTGGTTCATCAAGCCGGTAGTTCAGTTCATGCCGAGGAAGGTTTGGGATTGGGAAACACGCGGTGCGAACGGCGTACGCGTATGGTATAACATGTTTCTTGTTTTTATATGCGCTCAAAAGATGTCTCAAGGCTTCCTTTTTACATGAACACTTACAAGATTGCATTTGCCTGCAGGTTCCATCAGCGTACTTCATGACGGACGTCTTCATCGAGTTTGACCGCCAGCTTGGTAAGAAGGTGTTCAAGCCAGACCGCACCAAGAACCAGAGTCGGATGAGCTTGGCGGCAAATGAAGCTGTCATTATGAAGAAATTGGTTGGAGCCTTGCGAGGGTTGTGGCGCTCCAGCAAGGGCAAAGGACTTGATGACAAAGTCACTGAGCTCAAAGGCTTCCTCCTGCCCAGCCCCCGTCCTGAAGGTCGTGCCCATGAACCTCTTGAGGATGAGGCTGATGAGGAGGCTGATGAGGGTCGCAATGAGGGTGATGATGAGGGTGATGATGAGGCTGGTGAGGGTCCCAATGAGGGTGATGAAGAGAATGAAGAACAAGGTGTGGATGGTGGGGGTGATCTTGAGGATGCCCCCGAGACCAGCTCTGACTATGATGGAGAGCCCTTGAGTGAACCTTCTCATTCTGTGCTTGGTGACCAGGATGCACCGTGCACAGCGCCAGGACCTTCTGTCGTTGTCGAAGCAAGCCAGGCAAGCTCCGTCACGTCAGGGGATGATTCTGAGTTGAACGCTCCTACTTTGAGATTGGGGGAGGGACAGTCGTCTTCGCAAGATGATGGCGATGCTGAATCTGATTCTGAGGACTCCCTTCACCGATGCAGTCAAATCAAGGGCCGTGGCTGGCAGGGTCGCGCCATGGTTCATTTCAACCAGGTGGAGAAGGCAGAGAAGGTCAGGGATGAGAAGAAGCGGAAGCTCACGAGCGTTGAGCAAATGTTGGTTGACGTCTGAAGTGACTTGGGGTTGTCGGATTCCCCGTTGTGGCCAGACTATGAGAAGTGGTGTCGCACTTGCTTGCAAAGTATGGGGACCACGTGTATGGCCATCTCGCTACGCTGGACAACTTCAACCATTGGGTTCATCACCAAAAGTCCCAGGCCTGTGATGGTGTTGGATGGGAGTCATACTGGTAATGATCAAGCGATTGGGTTTCTATTTTTTGTTGGTAATTGCTATGTTTAAATCTTTCCTCATGCCCGGGCGGCCCGTTGCCCAACACTCCTGAAGGACGCCGATGATCAAGCTTCCAAAGGCGGAGGAGATCAGCGCAAGGTGCCTCCCGACGGTCTTGGGTGTTCATGGACGTTTGACCTGACTTCTTTCACCAACTTGCAGGGGTAGGTTCTCTGGTGCTGTTTCTGGAGGTGGAAAGTTAAAGGTGATGCTTAGCTAGTGGAATCAAGATGTGGTGAAATCAAAAGGGGTTTGATTTGAGCAATGTGCTTTTCGTGCAGGCGGAGAAGAAGCCTTTCAACAAAGCTCTCAGCGTCATGAACCTGGAGGAGACCATCGATGAGAAGGTGGCAGGTTCGACTGAGACACCTGTGTGCAAGAAACCCCGATGCTATTCCAAAGTCGAGTCTTCTCTGTCTTTGACGCCGCCTGCAGTTGTAGGGCCGCAAACAGTATCGAGGCCGACTAGTCACGTGTTAGCGATTCGGTTTTCCCCTAACATATCTAGTCAAATGGTTTCTACAGTCAAGGTGTATCAAGCCATATCAAACACATGTGCCTGAGGCAAAGAAAATTGGCGAAATCAAAAAGCGTGACCACTCGGCCCAGAATGTGGTTGGTGAGGTCATGACCAAGTTCAAGCAATACGATTTGGATAAGTTGGACATTCCACGCGCAGCCCGGCCACCTGTTGATGGCAACCACCAGGGTAAACATGGCTATACTCTGAAGCAGGACTCTGGAGCTGTCACTGTTTGCACCGCCACCGTGTCTTATCAAAAGAATGCACTCCACGATACCACCATATCTTGGAATTCCGATAACCTATCCCCGCGCCACTCCAGACCCTTGCTAAAGACCAAAGCGTATGTGGTCAAGCGCACCTCTGCCAGCGACTCTGAGAAGGAAAACCTTCAACGAGGACAAATCACTTGGAAGAAGTTTGGGGGTCCAGGTGATGCATGGAAGGTGGCAATGGAGAGAGCAGGGTGGGCTTCCTAGCTTTTCACCACCGCCGTCAAGCCCGTAGGATCCATCTGAGTCTGTTCATTTCTGTCTAGGTTGGTAGGCAGGGGGGACACAAGTTTCAACCTTCTGAAGAATGGAGGGTTGTGTGTCCAGGGGCATTGGCATGTGGATCACATGCCCGCAGCCAAGATAGAGTTGACAGATCTTAGATTTAAGACTGCCCGACGATGAAACGGAAAATGAATCGCTCCACCAGGTCTCACACCCAGTCATGGACATGAACTGTTCACAATCTCACATCCCGGTTCTCGAAAACAAATACAAAGCTCATCTCTCCATGTCTCACATCCACCAATCTCTCTTAGCAATTGATAGTGGCAACAAATGCTGCGCGCTCTCCAGGTACCGGGTCTTTGCGCACGCGTCAAGGACTGGTTTGGGGGTGTCTGGTGGCGCAGCGTGTGAGCTGGCGTTCTTAATTTTGTATATACTATACAAAATTTTATCTATATATATATATGCAGTATGCAGTATATATGTATATAGGTGATTCCGTATATACTTATAGTCTTAAATCAATCCATCCATTCATCGAACCCACCAATCCAGCCCACTAGTTGGAGTTGGGTGCATAGCTAAAAGAAGAGTTCGGCTATGAGCATTTTTTTGGCTCATCATCAAACCCAGTGTGTGCGCTCACCTTTTCCCAATGGTCAAGTGCCTCAGTGGGAAGAAATCTTTGAAGAAACTTGGCAAAGGGTTGCCTTTCAAATCCGATGAGCCCAAAGATCCACCGCAGCTGCCCCGGAACATGCGGGCCAAGCAGCGAGAGTGGATCCTTTCAGGATTGAGGAGCTTCGGAGCGCCTATGGCGCTTCGTCGTGAGGGTGGTCAAGAATTTTTGTTTTGGCGCCGTATTTGATCTTTGCTGGCGTAACCAACAATCCCTACTCGTCAAACCCAGCAATTGAGGCTGTCGCCACACTAGTGAGTTTGCTCTTCGCTGTGCCCGGACTCGACTGGTCTTCGCCCTTGGACCACTTTGAATGCTTCAGTGGAAAGATGGAGGTCACCCAGGCTGAGTGGCGAGCCCCTCAACCTTATCTGTGGAGCGATTTCCTTGTTCCCAGGGAGAAACAAAGGACGAATGAGTATAAGTATCAGGGTGTACTCTATCTATAGTTGCCTGAAACAATTTGTGGGTGGTCTACCAAATCTGACAAGGCTGGGCGATCGGCCATGCCCTTTGATGTGGACATCAGCCCTGGAATGGACCTATTGACACCCGCTGGGTTTTGCAACTCCTTGTTCTATGCGGCGTCCCTTCGGCCCGGCGCCGGCCACATGACGGCGCCCGTTTGTTCGACATGGGTGTTCATGCCTCTTGTTTTTATCATTAGAAACCTTATGTTTTCTGGTTGCGCGCTACGATCAAGACTTTAAAGATACATCCAGCCATCCCTCAAATTTAAATCATGTCTGGAGCTGCTGTCCTGCCTGAAGGTCAAGAGGAAGCACATTGCGCTCCAGAACCAGACCTTTGGGGCGAAAGGATTCCCAGGCAGTAAGGGATGGCAACATCCTTGCTGCGAGAGCAATCATTTTATGTTTGATTGCTGCATCGAAATGCGTATGGTGGGTTCTCGAGCAGCCATCTAGCAGCATATTTGAGCTGCACCCACTCTTTCAACAGATGGTCAGAATGCTTCGGGTCCACAGGCTCTCAATCAACATGAGCGATTTCGGAGCGCCAACGGTTAAGAGGACCATCCTCTATTCCAGTGTCCAGTTTCAATCTGGCAACATTTTTTTGGGTATGGGGGATGTCTATAGGAGGTTTGGTGATTGAGTGGTCAGCGGGTCAGTGGAATAAAATGTGCTGTGTAGGTGGGATGGACCATGTTCAGGACCGTGTGAACGGTTCAAACCTGTATTCGGGCTGAGGTCACCGCGAGGTGAACGACTTGCTTGACCATACCGTCGAGCCACGCCTAGAGGCCAGAGACATGGTGAAGTCTTACACGAACTACAAGGGTGAGAAGCGAATCTGCGGAGGGAAGGACTTGAAATCAAGCCAAGCTTATCCGAGACAGTTTCCAAGCAAACGTCAGTTGCGTAAGTTTTGTAATTTGTTTTGTGACTATAGCTCAACTCTTTGCAGCGTTTCTTCTTAAACTTGTCTTGGCTGCTCATGCTAAGGTTCGGGAAAGCCCTGGCAGCATGTCGAACAACCCACGTGCATCGACTCCGCCGTCGAGCTATGAAGTTCTTGAAGCAAGCCCGAAAGAGTACCAACTCTTTCAACCGCAGGCCCAAAGTCAACCGTGCCTGGGTGACTGGAGCTGATTTGGCTCCAATCTTTGATTTTCTTTCATCGCAGTAGGCCTGCCACAAGCCGTGCGCAGGCATCACATTTTCTCAATTAGACTGGCCACGTGGCCACGCGACAAATGTGTGGTAGGGTGGCATGGGTATGCAAAGTCACATTTGCTGGAAGCAGGGGGGCTGATCTCAGGAAAAGCGACCGTTTGGCACCTAGATTCTAGATCATATCGATAGACCTTCTCTTGCTCCTGGAAGGCTGCAACATGAACATATTTGTAGAGCCAACGCGCAAAATAAATAGACTTTTGCATGGATCCCCTCAAAAGTCTATCAATTCCTCCCGGCCCAAACAGAAAAAGACAATCTCTCCGGCCATACTGTGCAGGACCATGCCCTTTGCCTGGAAGAGACCATTTGGTGCTTCTGGCCTGTCGCAAGAGGGGTGAGGGGATGCAGTCATAGCGGACACTAGTGCGAGTTGGAGTGGACACTAGTTGGAGTCGACACACTTGATCCCAGTAGTTTCTATTTTTCCACAAAAATCTGATGGAAAACCATCCCAAACCGCTAGTGCGAATTGGATCGAGATTCATGCGAATAGCGTCGAAAACCTGCGATGTGTAGAAACTGATAGAAACTGATTGAGTTTTGCCCTGTAGCCATTCTGGCCTGTGCATTTTGCATCGAGGGTCGAATTTTGCCACGTGCTTCTATGGCCGCAGAGGTGATGAGGACACCCCCCCGCAGGCGTCATCGTGGGAAATCTCCCAAATCCCCAAAGCCTGAGACCGCGAATGGTGGAAGGCCATCAGCTTTGAGGAAACCAGATGGACCGTCTGAGAGGCTTCAAGCCTACTTGAAGCAAAGGAAAGAAGCAAAGGCTGCAAAGAAAATGGGTGAGAAAGACAAGACTGATGAGAAGAAAGGAAAGCGAAAGGAAGATTCAAGCAAGAAGGAGGATCCAGAGAAGAAGGGTGCTAAGGACAACAAGAAGCTGAAGAAAGAAGACCCAGAAGAACAGGCACCGGAGAAGGAGGTTGAGAAGGAAAAGAAGAAGAAGCAAGAGAAGAAGGTAGTGAAGAAGGAAGAGAAGGCGGAAGAGAAGAAACAAGATCAGAAGAAGAAGAAGGAAGACCCTGATGGAAAGAAGGAGATAGCGAAGAAGGAAGGGAAGGTGAACAAGAAGCGAGACTCGAGTGCAAAGGAGAAGAAAAACAAGAAGGAGAAGAAGGCAGATGAGATGGCCCCGAAAAAACGGAAGGCGGAAGGGCGTGACAAGTCGAAGGCAAGAAAGAAGGAACGCAGGGTCAAGTATGTGCCTTGCAAGAAGAAGAAGATAGAGCACATCTTCACTACACCAGAGAAGAAGAACAAAGGTGGTTCTGCATCCTCTCGGGCATCATCGCTAGATTCAAAGCAGAAAGCTGAAGCGCACTTGGCATCCCTTAAGGATATCCTTGATGACTCCTTTGATGACTCTAGCACGGACTCCGACATTGATGAGCTCTTGGAGGGGACGAAGGGTGGGGAAGGAGCAGAAGACTCAGGAAAGTCAGGAGGGAAAGACAAGTCAGAGGCGGAGGAAGAAGACGATTCAGGAAGCGATGAAGAGTCATCATGTGAAGCAGAGGATGAAGAAGGAGAACCGGCAGAAGAGTCAAACCAGGAAGAGGCAGATGAAGAGGGTTCAGGAAAGAATGAAAGCGATGATGATGGCTCTTCTGAAGAAGGAGAGGAATCAGAGGAAGAGGGGTCAGATGATGATGATGAAGTGGAGTCGGAGCCAGCACCGACTAGTACCTGTCACAACAGAGACAAGCAAGGCTGTGGAAGGGCTGAGAAACAGCGTTACCAACAAGAAAGAGTGGGACTGTTTCGTGAAGAAGCTCAAGTCCCATGGCGGGGCCCCAATCAATGTGAGTGAATACGCTACCAGCAACCAAAACAAAGTGGAGCTATTCAACATGTGGTTGGACTGTGGTCAGAACTGGAACGACTGTGCCCTCATGTTGGAAAGAAAAATGGAACGGAAGAATGAGGGAAAGAAGGGGTGGCAAGCGGTTCAGGGCCGCACATTGCGAGCCCAATACCCCGCAGACAAGTTCGAGAAGATCGTTCAAGCTCGAAAGAGCGCAGGTGGTTCTTGTTGTTGCTTATTTGTCTATTTTGCTATATATGTGGGAGGTGTGTTGTGCTTTCCCTTGCCCTCCCAAACCATCCCAAGTGTGTGACTGGACTATCTAAGGAAGCGTGGTTCTACATGCGCGTTGGAGTCTCCTACAAGCAAAAGGAAATCACTTCCGAGTCAATGTCTATCAAGGCCAAAAAGAACTTGGACCCAGAGTTGAGGGCTTCCCTCACCGACGCTGACGACGGCATTCTTCGGCCTGGCGCTCTTCCAAAGATCCAAACGGCTTCAGCTGCAGGGAACAAAGCTCTCCTGGATTCGCTTGCCAAGGCAGGGGCTGTCATGTTCCAATCCAAAAAAGAAAACAAGATCTAGTGACAGCCAATATCCAGTCTGACAATCAATATATATATATATATGGGGTCTTTCAAATAGTGATAATTGTTTACTGATATATATATATATCCAACTCAATGATACTCCAATCATATCTTTAAATCAACAAGCTTGGGTCCCTGGACTTCCAATGCCAGGTTACAGCTGCCCCCACAAAAAAGAAGGAGAAGGTGGAAGCGGAGGAGGTGGAACCAAAGACATGGGCAGAGAAGGCCTCTGACAGCTTGGGGGACCTCTTGCAAGATGCAGCCAAAGCCAGGACACTCTCCATCAAACTGGGTCCAGTTCAGTATGCGAGTGAGTTGGCTTTACAAATGAAGAACCATGCAAACCATTTGGAGAAGTTGTATCACAACATCCGAGTGGCTTTGGACAAGAAAAGCGACGACAAGACTTACAAAAAGCTCCTCAATCAAGTCGCTGAAGGCGCCACCTTTACAACAAAGTCTCAGGCGGGGAGTGATGGCTTCAAGGTTGACACGGTCGATATGTGTGTGTTGTTTTGTGGACTCCGTGTATCTTCTCAGAGCTTCACCAGAAACCCATGAAGGCAATCAAAACTAGTCATTGGTCAGGGTATGTTAGGGTATAAAAAGTGCTTTCAAACTCTGTGAGGCCGCAGCCAATGCATTCCTGAAGCCTCCGAGCAAGAAGAAGAAGAAGGAAACGAGTACTGGCGGCACCAAAACCGGAGACAAGGCCCCAGACAAGGCCGCGGAGGTAAAGGAACCAGAGAAGTGAGCGGTGTTACCGCCTGGCCAACCTTCACATCTTGATGGCCTTTTTCAAGTGTGTGTGCGCCATGTAGTGAAAGGTTCAATCTATTTGGGGAGAGACATGTGCATAGCATATGTCCGATCTTAGATCTTAGTCTTAGTGAACAGGTAGACCAGGGTAGCTGCATCATCCGTGCTTCGGCCAATGGCTTTATAGATCAGCAGGCCCCCTCAACCGAATGAATCTTATACGAAGGAATCTAATCTTATAGGCTCAAACCATGTGCGCTGTTGAAATCTTAGGATCAAATCATGTGTGCTGGAAGTGTCTAAGAGGCTTAGTTCTTGTCAAAATGCCAAACAAGGGGGCCTGGCTGCCAGAAGCGTTGGGGTCGAATGCAGGCAGCAAGTGTGAAAAAATGGATTCGTCCCATATCTACAAGAATCGTAAGGTAGCCGCATGCCGTGTTCCCACTGGCCAGGCGCCCGTGCGTTGAACTTGGGGCCAAGGCAGGAAATCGGCCGCCTTGGGCAGTCGCTGTTTCAAGTGGTGCTCCATGCATGGAAGAAACCAACACTTGCTCCAGGAAGCGAAGTCGATTAGAAGATCTACCTGAATCTGCCACAGTGAACAAACTAGTCGAACTGGTTGGGAGAGGCAAACTGTCTGTGAGTTCAGCTTCGGATCTTGCACGCTGCATGGCAACTCTTCCACACCTTTTCGTGAAAGTTTTACTGGGCCCAACTTTATGGTCACCTTATGTTTCACACCTTTGTGGTTTTTCCCACCCTTGCACTGAGGTTGTGGACCATCCACTACCCCACAGAGCTTTGCAAAGCTTCGCTGGCTTAGGGTCGAGCGGCAAGTGCGTAGCAAACGCGGAACGTGACCGTCACAGGTGGCTTCGAGGGCTGTGGGGGTTTGAGCTTCAAGCTTACGAGGTCGCCATACCTTTGCAAGTGGCTGGGTTGACAAACGGGTCTTACAAGAAACAAGTTGTTCATTTGTCTTTAGATAATTTTTTTGCCCTTCACTAGGACCAAGGGTTCTTGTCAATGTCCAGGTCAGTTCTCGCAAAGCAGTCAACACATTGGTGAAAGTTTGTCTCCCGCACGAGCTACTCCATTGCCTGGCAAAGACCGCAAGTCCATACATATGGTCTTCAGTGATGCTAGGACACCTAGATGATGGTGCTCGGCGAGGGTTCTTTGATCACATCAAATCACCCCCACCTTGGAAAGACCACCCTGCCTTCACCAGGCCCAATGTGAACTTTGAGCGCCTTATCCCTTTGACCATCCATGGGGACGGGGCCCAGTTCTACAGGAACGATGAGAACTTTGTATGGTCGGTTTCAAGTGCATTCAGTGTGAAGGGTTGTGTGAAGGATGTGTTGCTCTTCAAGTATCCAGTAGCAATCATACCTGAACGGTTCATGCGAGACCCAGATGTTTCTAGCCTTTCACATTGGCATTTTTGTTTTTCTTGGCAATTTTCTTTGTATAGGTTTCACTGTCTGATGTCTGAAGGCTTAGACCATTCCCGGCCCAGGTGCGAGCCTCTGCAAACATCATCATCAGCGAAGTCGTGGCCTGGTCCATTTCCGTTGCTTTGGAAGGGATTCTTCCAGAGACAGGATTCTATGGAGAGAGCTTTGACCCCTCAACCTACCGGTTCAAGATGAATGGCTCACAAGCAGCGAACGGGTGGAAGACGTTTAGCTGGCATGTCAAAGCAACCTTTTCTGATTCCTTCTTGAATGAAAGAAAAATAGAACTCTGAGAGGGTGTGCTGGGCTGGGTGTGTTGGTTTGCTATTCCATGCTCAGGGCATGTTTCTTTGCCATGAAGGCCGACCTCAAAGCAAGGGCGCAACTGCACCATTTTCCCCGGTATTACCAATGCAACCAGATGCTAGGAAAGAACAGAGTCTTTGTTTTTCTAAGTTCTGCTCATGTTTGGTTGGACAGAATGTATACATTGAATTGGACACAATATCTTGTGGATCCAAGGATGTGCGACCGGTGCTTGGCGAGCCAGGGGAAAGGTTGTCCTGTGGAAATGCACTACAAAAACTTCTCTCCAACCAAAGCTTGGGACCTCACACTGATTGACCACCCAGGGTACGTGCTCCGGGAAAGGTTGTCTTTGAGCCCCTGGTTGTGCATGGAGGGCTTTCAGATTGAGTGCATGAGCTATGACTTCTTACATAATATGTATTTGGGCACTGGCCGTGATTTCTTTGCGAGTGGGTTGAAAACCTTGGTTGAATGTGGCGTCTACAGAGACACGGGTCTCACCCAATTAGATGACATCCTGTGTCATATTGAACATCGCATCCGGGCCAAATGCAAAGAGCACAAGCTACTTAGTCTAGTTATCAATCGTGCTTTGAGTGTGTTTCGGTTCATACCTTTTGGGGTTAGTGGCTTGACCAAGTTCATTCTAGCCCCCTGCTTCAACCAAGGATTTCACTGCCTACAAAGCCCCATCTTTGTAGCACAGCCCTGAATGGCGACGACGACTATGCAGAGTTGTCTTCAAGATTCAAGGCCGCCCATGTAAAGGTTTCGTTGTGGTGGCTAGCTGTGGAGTCACAAAGTGCGGCTGATGCTGCGCCAGAGGAGCCCTCTAAGATGTTTGTTGCGATGTTTCTTTTACACACCGATAGAATTCAATTGGCCTTCTTCCCATGATTAAACAAAAAACACTGTCTCCTCAGACCATTGCCCCAGGACGAATTGCTCAATATGCTGGCGTACACAGCATACAACCTCCAACGGTGCATCGAAGTGTTCGACCGTGGCGGCCTTGTCCTCTCTGAAGATGAGGCCAAGGAAGCATCGCACTGCCTCCACATGCATCTGGTCAGATTTGCTTGGTTGGCTGACCACTACTTCAAAAGAAGAGTGATGATGTACAAAATTAGATGCAAACATCATTATTTGTGGCACACCGCATGGGAGGTGTCACGATGGAGGTTGAACGCAAACCTCTTTCATACCTTCCAGGAGGAGTCATTTCTTGGAAAGATAAAGGCAGTGGCAGTTAAATGTCACGGTCGCTCATGTACAGCACGAGTATACCAGAGATATTTTCTCACACTTGCCATGTGTCTTCATGAATATAAGAAGCAGGAACTTAAGGTCGACGCCTGAACAGAAACCTCACTTGTTGCGTTGTTATGTTTTCTTCAAACCTTCAACGCAAAGGGTTTCCTGGAGCCTGAGTTCCTGTAGGGGTCTGAAGCGCGTGGCGACCAACCTCGCCTTGTGGAAAAAGCAATGGCCGGCCCATTGCCACACGCTCAAGGGACGGTGAGCTAAGGAACAAAGTTGGAAGTCTGTGCAACCTGTTTTAAGAACATTGTTGACGCTTAAAGGTCTTTAACTGGTGAGTCATACTTTTTGTAAAGGTTCCAATCCATTCTTTGAGGCCTAACACGTGATGTGTAAAGTCCCTAGTATGAAAGATGTTTGCGTTCAACCTCCATCGTGAGGCACAAGGCACAGATGCAAACACTGCAGAAACTAGAAGAATACCTTCTGAGCTAAGTCAGCTTTGTGTTGCAAAAGAAAAAGGCCTCCATCGCGACACCTCCCATGTGGTGTGCCACAAATAAAGATGCTGCAAGCAGAAGTTCAAACGACACGACACGGCGAAAAACGACACTAGATCACGAAAACGACATGTGGCACGAAAACGCCACCAATGCAAAGCAAAGCTTGTGTTTTTGCAGTATCTTTCTCCTATAGGTCACACAACAAGGTTATCAGCCCAATATGTTTTCAGCTGTAAAAACGCCACCGTAGCATGAAAACGACCCTGCGGCACGAAAACGCCACCGTATCATGAAAACGACCCCGTGGCAAGAAAACGCCACCGTAGCGTGAAAACGACCAAGTGACACGAAAGCGGCATGAGTGCAAAGTGGTTACATTGCAGTGTGCTACCTATAGGTTCTACACAAGACATTCACAACGTTACCCGTCCACATGTTGGACAACTTTAACTCAAACGGCGCGTTTGCGCGAAAACGCCACGTGGTATTAACACGACCCCGTGCCAAAAAACAACACCGTAGCGTGAAAACGACCCCGTGACACGAAAACGCCACCGTACATAGCGCAAAGCATCTTTTTGCCATTGGTGTGTAGCTTTATAGGCAACATCCAATATCATCAGGACAACTCTATCACTCACACGACACATTGGCGTGAGAAATGGCACTGCGTGCCATTACAATGTATGCGAGCATGCGACATGCTTTAGAAGTAAACGACAACGTTCCCATAAAACATTGTCGTTTGTCTTGGAACTTGTGCAAAGGGCAGCGTTGGAGTCTCAAGGAGGAGACCAGGCTTGCGGGCTTTTGTTGAGTCGGGTTTGCCCACGCGCGCTGCAGGACCACTTGGCAAGTTGTTTCGATACTGTGACATGTTTGGTTGGAGCATTTCTGCTGATTTGGTTCTTTATGCGCATCACGGACTGACCTTTGATCTCCACTTCTTGGACCGCAAGGCCTTAACGTGGCTGCTCAAAGAGGTGTGGGCGCAGCGTGTTGCAGCGGAGTTGGTCTGCCGCAGCAGATGCCCGGTATTGGGCGCACCGAGGCTGAACTTTTAGCTTGTATCCGGGGTGGTACGGCCTAGTTGGATTCCTTTAAGTCCAAGTTCGATCCTCCCTACACTCCACATTGTGCTGCCCCTGATTCGTTGCAGCATCGTGCATTGCATTGTCCATATTATGACCGTGCACGGCTGCATCACACACGTTGTGTTGAACATTGGGATTCAGTTCCGGTGGCTCTCTCGCACCATGGCTGGACACCGGTCAACAGAGCTTTGTATGCTTGGAGCCGGGAGCACGTGCACTCCTGGCATGTTCATCCTACCTCCACACATGAGCATAATCTGTTTTCTGATGGTACTTGTCACTGGCCGACTACACCGGACGCGTCACTCGCAGCATGTGCAGTTGTGTCATCGGATGCAGAAGCTGTGGTAGCCTCTGACATTTTGCCCGGTGTCTGGCAGCATAACGATCGCGCTGAATTGTATGCGGTCTGCAAGGCCATTTGCTAGGCTTGCGAATTTCTGATTGCCATTCATGTCTGGTGTGATTCGGAGTACGTGGTCAACAGTCTGGGAACAGTCACGCGACTGCGCCAGGTGCCTGACACCTGGTTGAACCAAGACGAACCAAGGCCTTTAAAAGCATTTTGCACTCCCTTCGAATTACTAAGGTCATGGCTCTTGACGAAACCCTGCAGGACAGCTCTCATGGTGCATGGATGGCTCATTGGAATCAAGTGGCCGACACAGCTGCCACCTGAAGCTCTACCACGCTGCCTGTGCTCTATATGACCGACATTGCTCTGAGCTCAAGCTACCAGCGATTTCTTCTGGCGCTTGCACAAAAAAGCCTTGATCGTGACCACGCTGAACAGCCTGAGCCTGTGAGTTCGGATGGCGGGGGACTGTCTTGTGAACGCCGGTGACTATCGGGATTCCATTCCATTGGCTCCGGCTCCCCTTTTTCCACGAATTTGTTTTTCCATGAGTTTGGTGCCACATATGCCATGGCGCTTTTGACCTGGCTCACTGAGCTCTCGGATGCTGCCGAATATATCACCCCAGTCAGTTGTTTTGGTTTTGGGTGTTCAGCTTCCTGTCCGTTTGACCGTTGGAGGCCAAAATGTTTGGACTGACGTGGAGGAGTTGCAGTCACCCCTTGTTTGTTGAAGGCTGAGTTGGAGACTGTTTGTGGGTTTTCATGTTCATCCATACAGGTCACTCACCACAGGCAAATTGATGCCTTGGCCAGCCTCTACAGCCTCGGCTCTGCATCATCTCTTGGGACTGTTTTGCCAGCGTAGGCTGATCAGACGGTCGGCGGATCTGGCCCGTCCTTGGCTGAGGCCTCGCTTCGTGAGGTGCGGCAACGCTCCGCTTTGCCTGCCGCTGCGGGGACTCGCTCCGCTTGCGAGTGCTAACATATGACTTGCACACCACCTTCGTACCGTCGGCGAGCATCAGGGGTTCCGACGGCGCAAGCTACAATCGATGTCGTGAAGCAAGGTCAGAAAGCAGGGCGGCTCTGCGATCGGCCCTGTACCCGTCCACGCGAGGGCCCTTGAGCAAGCGACGCAGTTCGTCTCCGCCGCCGTGACGGACATCTGCTGAGGTCTTTGCTCGCTGGCTCCGAGTTCAAATTAAGAGAACAACGGAACAACTTCTAATTTTCCAAAACGTTGTAGCAGGAAAGGCGGATCGTTTTTTCAATAGGGACAACTCTGCCGTTGGATGCGAAGGAACCTTGGGCATCACTGTCAGTGTCCCGAAGTGCTGACCATCAACGCAACATGGCCCGACACGTTCTGACCAGCGGTGGGTGGGACGCGGAAGTGCTTGGAGAGAAGGATCGGCCGAGGCGGGGTTCACCCCCATTGACAAAAAGTTGTCTGGAGCTTGTGGGACGCGGTTCCCAGTTTGGGCGGTCTATTCAAATGACTTGCCTGGTACCCTGGTTGGACATCAAATTGGGGGGTGTTCTATAGTGAGGTTGTTGAATGAACTCAGGCACTTTTGAACCACAGCGAAAAGGTGAATGTGAGCAAGAAGGAATTATTTCAAGTTACACTTGATGGACAATGCTTCCAGTGCACCCCAGTTTGCCCGTATCGCGCGCCGACTTTCTTTTGGTCAAGATCGCTTCCAGGGCCCGCGAGCTTCTGCCGACGGCCTTTGCAAGTCTTTTCATAGAATTGACAAACTCAGCGTACTGACTTCCAGGGAGTTGTTCAGAATGCGCAGCTAGCAGTCACTTACGAGCACGTTCTTAGTCAAGTCCGGTTCTATCATCATACTGCCTGGCGCTTGCGTCATCTGCCTTTGGTCTGATGATGCGGCAGCTGTATCGAGCCCTAGAAGGAAAGCATAGACCCGATGCTACACATGAGGAGGCTTTAAGCAAGCTTAGCACGCGTATCCAACAGCTTCGTTTGGAGCGCCAGAATTTTCAGCAGATCTGCTAGTTCGCTCAAGAAGACATGGGAGCTCCTTTATGTGGAAGATAATGGATTTCCATTCCACATCATGATTTGCAATGGCTCCATTGAAACAGCCTTACGCCAGACTGGATCCATGCGCCAGATCTAGACGACCTGAGTACAACCACGCTGGGGTCGAGGACAGGACTGGAAATGCAGGGCAAGGGTGTCGAAGACAGCAACACAGACTTGCACGTGTCCAGCAGATGAAAACACAAATCCTCGGTACTCTGCAGTTGTGTGGTGTTGGCGTCTATCAGCGCTCAGCAACACCGAGACGTAAGCAGATTGACGCCTCTCTGCCGTGTCCAAACTACAGCGACAGCTGCAGGTGTTCATCGCCATCGGCAACACGCGGCCTTCTTGTGAGGCCCATGATTTTGCTGTAGAGACATGCCCTTTCTGCCTGACAGAGATTCGAAAATATAGACAGGCAACAACACCTGCAGTGTAAAGGAAGGGTTCTTGTTTTCATATTGTAGCAGAGTCAAGTTAACCAGTCACCTTCACCTGCAAGACTTCCAACAAGGATTCATAGGCATGTAAAAACGCGCAGGTAGTCTTCGGCTTTGACCAAGGATATTCCCGACAAGCTGCAGCTCTACAAGAGTTGAAGCGCTGGGAAGAGGCTTTCGCCATTTTGGAGCAGGGCACCACGACGCTGGGCCGATGGAAGACCTCTTGAATCTGGCAGAGGTGTAAGTGTTTCCAAAGAATCTGAAGAGGAACAGCACCGACCATGACCATCCCCTCACAGCCTGCTATAGCTTGAGATGTTGTTCGGTACGTGCGTGTTTTCATGTAGGAAATCCTTCAAAATATGGACCTCATGGACTCTGGCAAATCTACTCGTGATTCGATTTGCCAGAGGCTTCGGGGGCACCCGTTTCGCCATAGTTAGATTCGCATGGTCGGAAGTTCGCTCATAGATTGCTTTGGTCGGGGGCCCATTCCTGCTTCATGTTGGCCCGCATTCAACCACAGCCAAGTGTTGCCCGGTTTACAGATTATGTTAACGTGCCTGCAGTACCAGGACCCGCGTGGCTCACAGGCACTTTGCCGCAACCATCCATGTTGCATATAAATAGACGCTGGACGACGACGAAG